TACGAGTTGGAACCGACTTGATGACACTTGACAACAACAAGATATACAAAGTACCATCTCTGAATTTGAGACATGCCATATCATTGAAGAGCAAAGATGTCAGCTTGAGGACTAAGGTGTGCCTGACCCAGGTCATGGTATTTTCAATAACCTCATATGGATGCAAAAGCTGGACAGTGAATAAGGAGGATCGTAGAAGAATTGATGCCTTTGAGTTGTGGTGTTGGAGGAGAATACTGAAAGTGCCATGGACTGCCAAAAGAACCAATAGATCTGTTTTGGAAGAAGTGCAGCCAGAGTGCTCCTTTGAGGCCAAGATGGCTAAGCTTCGTCTTTCGTACTTTGGACATATTGTCAGGAGGGAACAGTCGCTGGAGAAGGATATCATATTTGGTAAGATGGAGGGTCAGAGAAAAAGAGGAAGACCCCCAACGAGATGGATCGGCCAGGTGGCAGCATTGATGGACTCAACTGTGGCAGCAGTAGTGAGGTTGGCCCAGGATCGGACATTGTTTTGTTCTGCTGTGCACGGGGTCTCTATGAGTCGGTTCCGACTCGATGGCACCTGACAACAACAACAATGTATCATGGATCTGCTGCTTTAATGTGGTAAAAAACTTTTGTACTGAGTAGATTCCATCTCAGGGGAGGGAGGAGGGCAGAGGGAGTCCCTGGAACTCTGACTTCAAGGTGACTTCTGGATGTGCAGTTTTCAGTGGCATGTGTGGCAGAGCAGAACTGCACATGGCTGTGACCTTTCAGAAGCAGATCACCAGGCCTTTCTTCTGAGGTACTTCTGGATGGGTTTGAACTGACAACCTTTCAATTAATCGGCCAAATCTTAACTGTTTGTTGAACTCCTTTTTAATATGGGAACCTTCTACTAATGCCTAGGATATTGATGTTTATGCATTCCATCTCACTTTTGAGAACTTCCAATTTTCCTAGATTCATACTTTGTACATTCCATGTTCTGATTATTATGAAAGTTTGCTGCTGTGTTTTCTCATTTCGAGTTGTGCCCCATCAGCAAGTGAAGGTCTCAAAAGTTGTGCTCCATCTAGGTCATGAAGGCCAACTCTACTTTGAGGAGACAGCTCTTCCCTGGTTATATTTTGAGCACCTTCTATCTTGAGGGCCTTATTTTCTGGCACTATAGCTGATAATGTTCCACCGTCATTCATAAGGTTTTCACTGGCTAACCATTTAGAAGTGGTTCACCTTTCCTTCTTCCTAATCTGTTTCAGTCTGGAAGCTCTGTTGAAACCTGTCCACCATGGGTGCCCCTCTGCTATGCAAAATACCTTGGCACAGCTTCCAGGATTCACAGCAACATACAACACACAACTCCAGTATGACAAACTGACAGATGAGTTATAGTCAACATAATATAGTAATAATACTAATGTTTTAGCAAGGAGCACCCATTGGTTGCTACAAACCATTGTATATGTCTACATTTTTTAATACAACAGGCTTTATGGGACCACAGATGTATATATAGTCAGATGTTGTGGAAGGGATGCTATACTGCACATGACTGTATTTGTAAAGCTCACAGCCAAGAAAACCCATGGAGCAGTTCTACCTTTGTAACACCTAGGATTACCATGAGTTGAAGTCAAACCAATGGCAATGGGTCAGTTAGAAATATGTTGTTGTTGTTATGTGCCGTGGAGTTGCTTCAGACTCATAGCGACCCTGTACAGGGTTTCCAAGGCTGTAAATCCTTACGGGAGCAGAAAGCCTCATCTTCCTCCCGCCCGATTTGTAAGCACTACGCTATGAGAGCTCCTCAGTTAGTAATAGAGAATGGGGGAAATAACACCGATTTGGGACTTAGACAAGGAGCCCTGGTGGTACTGTAGGAAAAGCGTGGAATTGCTATCTGTAAGGTCACAGTTCAAACCCACCACCTGCTATTTAGGAGAAAGATGACACTTTCTATTTCTGTGAAGATTTATAGCCTTGGAAATCCTATATAGGATCACTAGGCATTGGGAGTGCCTTGGTGGCAGTGGGTTTGGTTTAGTTTGGGGACACACATGAATCAGATAAGTGGTTCTAGATGAGTATCATTGGGTATTATGGATTGGGTTATATCCCTCCTTGAGCTATGTGTTGGAATCTTAACCTCCATACCCATACCCAAGGATTTGAATCAACTGGAAATAGGGCATTCTTTGTTACGCTACTAAAGACACACCCAATCCCTTAGTGTGTCTAAATGTGGGAACTGGCTGAGGTGGATCACCACGATATAGGTGATAGCTGAGGCCCTGGAATTACTCAAGGGGAGAGTAGAGGGTCTGCAACAAAGACACAGAGCACACAGCACTTACAGATGGGTCTAGAAAGAAGAGTCCCACCCCCCAGAAGACTGAGCAGGAGTGTTTGCAGGAAGGAAGTAGTAGCAGGAAGTATCACAGAGCAGGGATCAAGGTATGTTTCCAGGAGGAACCCACATGGAGCCAGATGCTGCCATGCCCAGGGGAGGGAGGAGAGCAGAGGGGTCCCTATAGCTCTGACCTCAAGGTGACTTCCGGATGAGCAGTTTTCACTGGCATGGTGGTGCCATTGACAAACTGTGAGACTGAGTGGGTCACCTAACCTCTCGGAGCTTCCATTTGCTCTTCAAGGGCTAATGAGAGGACGGAATGAGGTTACACACATGAAGCCCTGAACCCTGAGCCCTGAGTCTAGCACACACTACAGAGTCAGACCAGAGAGACTTTTTGCTCTGCACTAGATGGGATGTTTTCTCTCCCTTCTCCTCTCCGTTTGATTGTTAAGTAAGTCAAAGACACTGGGGAGGGGGAAGCAGGGGCAGATGTTGTTAAGTAGCGTCAAGTCGTTTCCAACTCATAACAACCAGGTATAGGATTTTCGAGGAGCGGCTGGTGAATCTGAACTGCCAACCTTGTCGTTCAAACCAACCTTGCAATCCAGTGCTTTATCCAACAGCGCCACAGCAGGGGCAGGTGTAACCCAGTCCAAACTCTTTGTTGCTCTAGAACCTCACTCCCCCAGCAGACACATACACACATGACTTTAAACAGACATATATAGAGCTACAAACCTAGACCTTAAAACAAGTGTACTCACTTGTGAACACAGTCACATCCCAGAAGTACAATGATAAACCACCAGACTCCCAGGCCCTAAGAAACAAGTCCAGCCCTACCAGACAGTCTCTTCTGTCTCCTCTCCCTCACTCTAGCTTAACCTTTTCTCAGCTGGCTTCTCACTGGGAGGGAGGTTAAGCACACAGCACCAAGGGTTTACTGCCACAGCTTCTTCAACCAGGCCTCACCATGAGAAAGGGTGAAGGCCCTGAGGGAGGGTGGACATATGTGACCACCCAGGAGACAGCGAAGGAGTGCTCATAGAGCAAGACAAAGGTGAGTAAGTATCCAGAGACAGGGGTGACCAGCAGTAGCTGATGACATGCTGACAACAGAAATGAGTCTTGTAGGTTTGGTTACTGGTGACCTTGGAGAGGGGAGTAGAAGCCATATCATACTGGGGGAATGGGTGACTAGAAAGTGAGGCTGTGGATACCATGAACAGAGACAGTTTCCTCTGGGGACTTGCCATAGGGTCAGGAAAGTTGGAGCAGTAACTAGGGTGGGATGCTGGGTTTAAAAGCAGTGCAGATGCGCAATGCAAATTTGGGGAGCAGATTTTAGGTGGAACAGAAGTGAGTTTCCTAATGTGTAAAAGTCTGACAGCATTTAACAACCACAACATTGTGAAGATGGATGGGCAGAGTGGCAGCAGCGATGGGCTCAAGCATAACAATTGTGAGGATGGCCCTGGACCAGGCGGTGTGTTGTACTGTTGTGCACAGGGTTGCTATGAGTTAGAACGGACATGACACCTAACAACAACAACCGCAATTGTGAGGAGCAAACGCATATACCTATGGCAGTTCTTACAGCAGTGCCTGGTACGAATGTTGTTGTTAAGTGCTGTGGAGTCAGTTATGACTCGTTGTTGTTGTTCAGTGCCATCGAATTGGTTCTGATCCATAGCGACCCACAGTATAGGGTTTCCGAGGAGCAGCTGGTGAGCTTGAACCGCCGACCTTGCAGTTCAAGTGGCTTTGCAGTCTAGGGACCCCATATAGGGTTTCCAAAGAGAGACTGTTGAGTTTGTAGTCCAGTGCTTATCCTACAGTGCCACACCAGGTACATAGTAAGTGCTATTTAATGGTTAGCAAAAAAAAAAAAAAACAAGATTAAAGAAGGAAAAAAGCATTGGGTGACATTGGAAGCGTCTTAAAACCTAATTCCAAATCCACTGCTGTCAAGCCAAATCCGACTCATGGCAACCCCATGTATGTCAAAGGAGATCTGCATTCCATTCAAACCACCAACCTTTCAGCTAACCATTGAATGCTTAACCATTTGGGCTACCCAGAGATGCCCAAAGCTTCTTACAAGCTTTCTCATGAATACTCAGCCAAAGAAAACAACTTCTCTCCATCTCTAAGCCTCACCCTGTGAAACACAAGCTTCCCTGGGGAAAAAAAAAATCACAGGGCTCTCCCTTCAGGGTCTTGTAACCACAGTAGGTGTGAGCTCAGAGTAGATAGAGGATTCTGGAAAAGGAGAGGGACAAGCAATGGCTCTGCTCTAAACCCAGGCTGGATGCTCACTGCTCCTTCAACTCAAGAGACCAGGGAGGCGTGGCTCACTGTGGAAACACCATTTTGCCTTGAGAGAGTATGTGTCAAGGGCAGTAGGTACCCTCAGCATCTGTGTCCTCAGGAGACATAGATGGTGCCCGCGGGTACCGACTCCAACATTCTAAGGGCTCCCGACACTAATCTAAGGTTCTTTTCCATCTGTCTCCCAGTATGACCATCACTGAAGAATCCCCCAATCTCAATCAGCTCAGACTGAAACCCTACCCATAAGCCCAGGCACTGGGGAAGGGGAGGTGAGGCGGGGGTGGGCAGTAAGTAAGGCCTTTCCCTGCTCGCCTTTGGGACTCACGTCGGAGTTCTCCACCACCTTCTCCAGGTACTTGTTGAAGATGGAATACTTCTGCAGTCTGGTGTTCAGTGTCTGGTGTTGCAGTCGCAGGGCCACCAGCTCCTGCTTGGCCTTGGCCAGCTCCCGCATGTGCTGCTCCTTGAGGTCTCGCTCCTTTTTGGCTTTCTTCAGGGCGCGGATTCGCTTCTTGTCATTCTCCTGGGGTAGAGTCAGGGTCGCTGGTCAGCCCTGCTGGGGGCCCTCAGGCCCCTGGGGCCTTCACAGGGCCTCTGTTTGCTGAGATCCGGGCACTGGAAGGATGAGTAAGAAGACTGGGCCACCCATGGGGAGAGGAGGTACACAGGATATTTGAAGCTAGTTGAGGGGGTTTCTGTGGATTGTGTTGGAGTTCAGGAGGATGTAATCACAGAGGTGTAGACCAAAGTTAAGAAGTGGCCTTGGAGACTGGACAGGAAATTATTCTGATCCTGAGGGAGGAGGGATTTGGGTTTCAAGGTGGCCTAGGTAAAAATCACACTCATGGGACCCAGTCTTTGGAAAGAACTCAACTTTGGGGAAGGCTGAGAAAGTCCAGCCTGTTGTTTGTGGTGGTCATTTATCACCAGGTGGTGGTGGTGTGCCGTGGAGTCAGTTCTGACACATAGCGACACTGTACAGGGTTTCTAAGGCTGTAAATCTTTACAGGCGCAGAAAGCCTCACCTTTCTCCTGCAGAGCCGCTGGTAGTTTTGAACTGCTGACCTTGAGGCTGGCAGCCCAACTTGTAACCACTACGCTACAAGAGCTCCTTTATCACCAGGTAGATTTCTGGAAAGCCTGCATTTTCTCCCGACTTGGTACTTGAGACCTGAGTTTCTCCTGCTATATAAATGAGAGGCAGTGGTCCTCTCTCTCTTCCAAAAGCTGAGGTAACTGTACTCAAATGATAGAAAGGTGAGGCAGGTGATGGGCCTGGTCCAGAGGACCTGAAGGGGATGAAGCCATTCCAGAAAGCATTTGTTCTAAGGGCTCAGACAGGCAACCAGGCCAGGGTTATAGAAGATGACCGAGGCACAATTTGATACCCAAAATGACACGAGGCTCAGCTACTGTAATCAGTCCAATCCTGCCTTCTCCTGTCTACGTCTCCTTTCTACTGGCGGCAGACTCAGCCCTCAAAGGCACTTACCCCTCCAGGGCCTCCGCTGATTCCCGATGGGTGGCATATGTGGTGAGCATTTGGAAGACATAGAAGGAGGAGTGCAGGGAATTTGATCTCTGCTCTATAAACCCAGGAGAGGGCCGTGGGCTCTAAGCCAACTGTACTCGTCCAGAACCCCTGGAGAGCTTTGTAAAATTACCTGTGCCTGGTTCCAACCACACACCTGCTGAAAGCAAGGAGAGAAGAGAATCCAGGCTTCTGTAACAATCTTTGAGGATGTTGGTCCTTTGGTAATCATCAGAAGGACCCCTCATCTCCAAATCTCCTACTGCTTCATCCACCCTAGGATGCCCAGTCCCCCACGTCTTTTCCTATCTGGTTTAGGCACAGCGTGGTGGAAGATATTTAAGAGCAGGCTGCTGTATAGCCAAGGACAGTAATGAAGTCTGGAGCTAGGCCAGGCCTTAAGGGTTTGGTAAGTACTGTCTGGACTTTTAGATGATTAAATCTCTCCTCTGAGGACCTATTGAGAAGAGGTGTCTGGACTCTAGTGCCTGCTCCTTCAACCATTTCCTGTCTGGACCTTCAGTGCAAAGATGGAGCAGTACGTGGAGTAAGCAGGGGACTAAGACCCTATCTTACTCCTTTTTGTATCCCTAAGTGCCCAGCCTTGATTCTGATACATTCACTCATTCACATGTTCACTGGTCATACTGGCCTGGCCGGGAAACAGGAAGTAGCAGTCTAGAGGGGGCATAGACCAACAGGTAAACAGGAAATTTTAAACAGGAAGGTAAAGGAAGGGTTGAAAGGAGGAAGGGAAACAGCAGGCATTGCTGGAGTGCTACCAGGCACCTAACCCAGGGAGAGAGAGTCAGCAAAAGTGAGGAGGAGGGAGAGAAGAGCAATGTGCCGACTGTGGAGTGTGGGTCCCCCCTGTGTGCTGCATAGACCACACCCCTATGTACCTGGATGAATTTCTCAGACTTCTGAATATGGGTCTTCAGCTCAGCTTCCTTGATGCCCAACCCCTTCCAGCGCAAGTTTAAGGCTTCCATCTTGCCTTTAAGTATCTGGGGATTGGAGGTAGTAGAGTGGCGAGAAGGGCCACAGCATGTGCACGAAGGAAGGTCCCAGCATCCCCTACCTACAGCCTCTACCCCCAGGCCCAGAAAAGTCTTTGAGATGCCCCTTCCTTTCTAGCCCCTGTCCTGGCTCTAAGCGGAGCATCCCAAGGCTTGGCCAGCACCAGAGACTTGGGTCATGTGTGTTCTCTACAAGGGAAGAGACCTGTACCCCAACACCCTGCTCCCTGAGTCCCCACCTCCTCCTTCTCCTCCAGAGCGCGGTGCATGATCTTGGCCTCCTGTTTCTTCTTCAGAAGCCGGATGGCTGGGGATTCCGACTGCTCCTCGATGGAGGGGAACTTCCTGCCCAAGACACCAACAAGTGAAGTCTACGGGTTCTAGACACCTGAGGTAGGTGGGGACTGGGCAGTAACCATGGAAAGATAGCCATGGGCGGGGAAGGGGGTCTTCTCCCCTCATCTGGATGAAAGAACTCGGGTGTTAAGAGTAAGAGAGGTAGGGATGTTAAGAGGAAACCAGGGCACAGTGATAGGGGGCTGGGACTCAGGAGGATGGGGTGGGTTGGTGTCGAGCAGGATGAAGGGGCAGGGTGACTTGGAGACCTGGCAGATAGGAGAGGAGGGGACAGGTTGGGTGCAGAGGGTGGGCCAGGTTCTCAGTCTCTTACTGTAGCAGTTGCTGTGGCCGCTCCTCATACAGTAGCCTGAAGTATTCACACAGATCTTCATCTTCCATGATTCCCAGGCTCGTGGCTGTGGTGACTTCCCGGTCCACCCAGCTAGCTCCTCACAGTAAAATGTGGGTGGTAGATCCCAAGGGGTCGTGGCAAGGCTCTATTTTTTCCCTCCTCCTGATTTCTAGGTTTCAAACAGGATGGTGGGTATTTGCCCAAGATGGCTTAGAGACAGAATCTGTGGCTCGGGATGATGTATTACGGTTCTGGTTACTTAGCAACTGCCTAGTCTACACACTGAACCCAGGCTTTCCCTCTGACCCTGCCCCCACCAGGCCCCACTCTCTACCCTTGCCCCTATTCCTCAGGAACTCTGGGAGGAAGTCAGGCCTGGTTGCCATGGTGCCTTGGGCTGAGAGGCTTGGCCTGGGTGTCCAGGCTGAGAAAGGGGGTTTATTTAGGAAGGGGATGTCCTTGTGAGGGAGCCCTGCTCCTGGGCCTCTCTTCGAGGTTCAGATGGGCCTCTGACAAGATGGCCAAGAAGAAAAGAGAGAGGAAGAGGAGGTCCTTAGCTGAGGCAGGGATGGGGGTGACCAGGAAACATGGGTCTGTGGGGATGTCCTCAGGTCAGGAAGGGGCTGGAGATTTCTGAAGGTGGTCGGAGGCAAGAGGTTGGTAAAGGGTGTATCGGGGCTGAGTGTGTGGGAATACACCAGACACCTGAGGCTTACGCAAGAGATTCAGGACCAATGCCCCATCCAGAGCTTCTTAGATTATTAAATTTGGCCTAGAGACCCAAGGTCAGGATTTGAGACCTTGCGTGCTGAGTGGATGCTCCTTTACAGATCGCGCTTGGGAGGTAAAGGCTTCTGCCAGTCGTTGGTGGTCTCCTACTGAAGTCCCTCTGTTCTCCCGTGCTGCTTCCACACTCCCGCGCGCGCATGTGGAAGATGGGGGTGGGGGACAGGAGTGGGCGGAGCAACTGTGCGCTGAGGCATTGCGCTCCTCTAGTGCCCCCTGCTGGCCAGATTCCCTGGTCCACGTGGAATGAAAGTCCTGTGGAGGGTGGGGGCGCTGCCTACCCTACCCTCCACCTCTCCCCTCCTCTTTATTCTCCCACTTTCTCCTCCTCCTTCCCCCTCCTCTCTACGCTTCCAGCCCACCCAGTGGGTTCAACAGAGGCAGCTGGGCAACCCCCATCCCACCCAGAATACACATCCCCATTCCCTCCCACCGCATCTCACCCTCACAAGATGCCTTCTACACATAGGTCACCCTAGAGAATCAGACTCAGTAGAGTAGAGCAGTAAGAAAAATAACTGCAAACTCCTCAAAGGATGTGTTTCACTCATTGTTTGTCCATAGAGTCTGGCATAATTCTAACACTTGAGGTGCTTACTTAATATGTGAATAACTAATAGCATTAATAGTACTAGCTTCACGAATTTACTGAATTCTTAAAACAACCCTTTAAAGGTTGTTGTTGTTGGTGATGTGCTGTGGAGTTGGTTCCTACTCATAGCGATATTGTATAGGGGTTTCTGAGGCTGTAAATATTTACGGGAGCAGAAAGCCTCATCTTTTCCCCTTGAGGTTAGCAGTCCGACTTGTAACCACCATGCTACCAGAGCTCCCTCCCTTTCAAGGTAGGTATTGCTTAATACCTTTATCTCTCTTTTACAGATGGACACTCAGAGAGGTAGCTAACTGTCATCCATTAGGAAGATATGTGTTGGGGCAAGGCCATCTGTTGGTGATGTGCAGTATTTTAGATTGGACATAATGGGACACAAATTTTCACTGTATGGCTTACATATCTAATATTTTTTTAAAATGTGCATCTGCCCCCAGTGTGTTCAATCATTTTGTCATCCTCAAGACTTGCCAGTTTGCTTCGAAGCCTCCTTTTAGCCAGTGACTTTCTCCTGTGAACCTCTACCAACATCCTTCTCCTTCTCCTAGGTCCTTGAAATTGGATTGACACATACCACCTTCTAAAGCTGACATCTATTCTTGCTAGTAACTGTCTCTTGTTGGGTATTCCCCCCATATGCCTCTTTATTTCCTTGGTAACTGTGTAGTCTTAAAATATCTCAGTAGATTTTCACCTGCCACCTGGTAAGTTTGAACCGCTGACCTTGTGGTTCAAATCAATCCTATGGTCTAGTGCTTATCCTATAACGCCACACTAGGAATGGGTTAAAGAACAATCAACAAGTGAAAGTCTGCATCTTTAGGAACTCTCCCAGAAGGTATAGGGAATAAAAGCTAAGATACGGAGGATTGAAATAAAAATGTCATATCTAAGTAATAATGAGAATTTCATAACAAAATATGAAGGCGATGAAAGAAAAGTAAGAGGCCTCAGGTTGAAATTCCCATATTTAAGGAAACAAGCAAAAACATCACACCTGAGCATATTACAGTGAAATTCAGGAGTAGGAAAGAGAAGTAGAAAGGTGTTTTCTTTTAAATGTAGCATTTTAAACAGATAATTCATCCTCGTGGTTCAGAAATCCCCCCAAAGTGTGTCCAGTGAAAATTCTTACTACCACCCTTCTTTCAGTCACCCAGTTCTTACCCCTTCCCCACAAATAACTGTTTATATTACTTTTTGTGTATTTTTCAGAATTTATGCAAATTCAGGCAGATAATAATATACTCTTGTTTCGTGGTGTGTTTGTTTGTTTTTTGCTTTTTCTACACCAAAGGCAGTATATACGCACTCTTTTTTCCTTTATAACTTAGTAATATATTTTAAAAATCTTTTCATATCATTCTTTCAATTGCATAATGTTCCATTATGTGGATATACCATAAATTATTTAATTGATCTCTTATCGATGCCATTTGGGTTGTTTCCAATATTTTCAATGTAAAACCTTGTATCACTAATCGTCTGTCAGTTTGTTCTACTGTGATCCTGGAAGCTGTGCCACCGATATTATAAATACCAATAGTGTCATCCATGGTGGACAGGTTTCAGTGAAGCTTCCACATGAACGCTAGACTAGGAAGAAGGAGATGGGAACGACTTCTGAATCGTTAGCCACTGAAACCTTATGCATAGCAGTGAACATTGTCAGATGAGTGCCAGATGGTGAAAACATTAGGAATAGTACTGGAGCATTGTCAGATATAGGGCCAGAAGATGAATCCTTCAGGTTGGAAAGCACTCAAAATACGCTTCTCAAAATCCCGTTGACCATAATGATGGGAATGGAGCTAAATTTTGGGGACCTTCATTTGCTGATGGGGCACAATTCAAAATGAGAAGGAATGGCTGCAAACACCCATTAAATAGCAGAGGATCTATTAATGTGAAGTAGGAATCTAGGACAATTGGGAGTTGTCAAAACTGAAGTGGGATGTATAAAAATGGATATCCGAGGCATTAGTGTCCTGGTGTGGCCCTATAGGATAAACACTGGACAGCAAGATCAGCTTGAACCACAAGGTTGGCGGTTCAAGCTCACCAGCCACTCCTTGGTAACCCTATACAGTTACTGACCTGATGTCACTTAACGACAACAAGACATTAGTGAACTGAAATGGACAGGCATTGACCATTTCAAATCCAATTAATCTTATGGTTTATTTTGCCAGGAATGACAAATTAAAGAGGAATGGCATTATATTCATCATCAAAAAGATTATTTCAAGATCTGTCTTGAAGTACAACACTATCTTTGATAGCATAATATCCATACATCTACAAGAAAGACCAAAGTCCTGGTGTGGCATAGTAGAATAAGCACTCAACCGCAAGATTGGTTTGAATGGCAAGGTCAGTGGTTCAAACTTACCAACCACTCCTCAGAAACCCTATACAGGGTTGCTATGAGTCAGAAATGACTTGACGGCACTAAACAACAACATTCTGACATTTCAGGTATCCACTGACTCTAGTACATTCATCCAACTCATTCTTCTCCGTTCATGCTTGCTTCTGATTCATGTTTCCAACATCCTACCTCATCTCTCTGAAGAGATGGGTACTATCTGCAAGTTTGAGTGTTCTTGTACGTCTCCCCTTACTTCATATCAGCTGGATGCTTCACTTTCAGCTCTAGCCCTCTGTGGCTATGTCCTTGTCCATGGGCTCAGGTGCCCCCAGGTCTCACCACACTTTGGACCAACCAGCCCTTCCTCTTCTCTCTCTCATCTCCAGGTCAACGGGAGTCAATGGACTGTGTTTGAACTCAGCCCATATCTTCATTGCTGCCTTTCCCCCTCCTTCCACTCACCAGTGTGGTCGCCAGCAAGCTTACATGCCTGCTCATGTGTTCCCTTTGAGTTTCAGTCTTGGGCATTGTCCTGAAGGAACTTGATTGCTTGCCTTGATGGCTTCCTAGCGAACAACTTTCTTATTCTTGTAGTCGCCAATCATACTGCCATGTTTGTTTTGGGTTTTTCCTGATGATCTGTCTTTGAAAATACATCTTCTGTTGCTCTAGCTCTTCCAGGCTGGTCTGCTTGTCCTTTCTGGTGGGAATGTCCCACATCAGAAGGCTCTGGATGGGGCTCAGGATTCCACCTAAGGTCCTATACATAATATCCATAATATTCTTCTCCAACACCGTAATTCAAATGCATCCATTTTCCTATAGTCTCCCTTATTCATTAGTCAACTTTCACATGCATATGAAGTGATTGAAAATACCATGAATTGAAAATCTGAAACGGACATCTTTGTTCTTAAACACTTTAAAGAGGTCTTTTACAGTAGATTTGCAAACACAGATTTGTTTTTGTTTGGTTTTAACTCTTTTATTATGAACTGGGGTCCTGTTGTGATGCTACAGGATGAGCACTGAACTGCTAACCGAAAGGGTTGCCGTTCTAACCAACCAGCCGCTCCTCGGAAATCCTATACAGGGTTGCTATGAGTCAGAGCAGCATTTAACAACAACAACAGCAGTTGTGAAATGATTGAAGGTTTACAAATCACCAGTTTTACATTTAATAGATCATACACTTTGTTTCATCTCAATGACTGCAATCCCTTTCATGCAGCAACAGTTGTTCTTATTTTCATTCCATCCTCCTTCCCATCCCTTCTCAACTTTGTCCCGAGGTAAACTTTGCCCTTTTGATCTTGAATGATTGACTCTTTCTTTGTGAGTATATCTTACTAGTGTTTTTTCCCTCTCCTATGTGTGGCACTGTGGGCTAATGCGTCAGACTACAAAGTCGTTTGAACTGCAAGGTCTGTGGTTCAAACTCACCAGCTGCTCCTTGGAAACCCTTTAAAGGGTTGCTATGGGTCAGAATCGACTCGAAGGCACTTACCAACAACAAATATACCTGTCTGGAGTCCTGGTGTGGCTCTGTGGGTTAATGTGCCGGGCTGCAAAGCCATTTGAACTGCAAGGTTGGCAGTTCAAGCTCACCAGCTGCT